AACTGTTGAGAAAAAAATAATTATTAATCATTTATAACATTGCCTAATTTAAGGTTTGAAATGATATGATCAATACTTTGAATTTATTGTAAGATTTAATTTTATTAGCTTTAATTTTAATAGTAATAATTATATTGATTATTGTTATGCAATAAGAATAATTTTCTATTTTTGAATACATAGCTTTATTTTAGAAGCTATCCTAAATTATTTGTCCAAAAATTCTAAAATCTGAAAAACCCTTACTTGTCAACTTTACAATATATATATTATTAATTAATCATGCACTTATCATATATTATAATATTTAATATCTTGTACTAATAAGCATGTGTTGTTATGCAAGCTATTATATTATAAATATTGTTCTTATTATTTTTAGTACATTATTACATAAGCACAACAATCTTGAATTAAAGCTCAATTAGCTAATAAAACTTGTAAATCATGAATATAATTGTATAATAATATCAATATTAAAACATGTGATGATAAATATTTTATAAATAATATATAAATTTTTGTTAGAATTTTATATAAAACAGCTTAATTTAAAGTTTTATAAGTTATATAGACCAAAAGAGACCAATATTTGTTAATTTTTGGTTTGTGTAATTACTAAAAAACTCTATTTTTAAATAACCAAATGACCAAATAACCTGGTCATGATTTTGGTCTATTTGGTCATTTCAAGTCAAATATCCAACACTGTATTAAATAGCAAAATTGATAAAAACTTGAAATTTGCACAAAGAATAGTACAGAAACAGGAAATCTAAATTACCAACAATACTGAAATAACAAAAGTTTATATATAATCTTTATACTTATAAATGATGATACCAGAATGACAAAAACTCGGAATATTTATAATAATAGCACCAAAATGACAAAAACTCAGAATCTTCACACTCTATAAATGATGGTATTACTACTAACCTAACCTAAAAATAAAATATTTATTTAATTTGCAAATATATATTTCAATATATATTTTAATATATATTAATACTATATATATTTTTATTACATACCCAGATCTTTATCATTCTCTGGTGAAAACCTCTTAAGAATCAATTTGTCTCTACTACATCTATTTTGTGGAGCGAACCAGCACACCATTTTAAAGATATAAGGCTTATCAAAATATTCCTTTTAACATTGAATGCTGAAGAGCAAGCTTTATTAATTCCTTTAAATATCACCCTTCCAAGCCAACCAAAACCACTATTTGAATATGCTAATTATATCACATATGTTAGCAATGATTTGTATGTTGGCATTAAAGACTGGCTTTCGTTTAATTTTCAAATATATAATGAAGTAGGATATGAGCTTGAAAATGTTATTGGATATTCTTTGATTGCGATGCTTCTAAGAACTAGCAAGAATCTTAAACATTTAAGTCTTAGTGAAATTATTTGCAATCCAATGATATTCGAAAATCTTTATGAGAATACTACTATCACCTCTATAGAGTTATTTATAAACAATCATAGCCTTAAATCTAAAACAAAAGATGTATTAGTAAAGTTCCTTTGTGAGAATTCTACTTTGACTTCTTTGAATTTTAGTTCTTATGATCGTGAAGGAATGAAAGGTATATTAAAGGTTCTTCATGAAAACACTGCTTTAAATTCTTTAAGTCTTTGCAATAATTATATTGGTATTGAAGAGGGGAAGGTATTAGCAAAGTTTCTTTATAAGAATACTACGCTGACTTCTCTGAATCTTCAAGAAAATAATCTTGGACCAGAAGGAGGAAAAGCATTAGCAGGTGCGCTTTGGAAGAACACCACACTGATTTCTTTGAATCTTCGTAATAATAAACTTGGATCAGAAGGTGGAAAACCATTAGCAGATGCACTTTGTAGGAACACTACGCTGACTTCTTTGAATCTTAGTTGGAATAACCTTGGATCAGAAGGAGGAAAAGCATTAGAGGATGCACTTTACAAGAATACCAATCTAACTTCTTTGAACTTTGTAATAATTATCTTGGATCGGAAGGAGGAAAAGCATTGGCGGATGCGCTTTGCAAGAATATCTCACTGACTTTAGCAGATTCAATTTGCAAAAACACCACGCTAACTTCCTTAGATCTTAGTTGTAATTATCTTGAATTAGAAGGCGGGAAAGCATTAGCAGATGCACTTTGCACGAATACCATGTTGACTTCTTTGATTCTTCATGCGAATAATCTAGGACCAGAAGGAGGAAAAGTATTATCAAATGCACTTTGCAAGAACTCTACGCTAACTTTCTTGGACCTTAGTTACAATTATCTTAGATTAGAAGGTGGAAAAGCATTGGCAAGGGCACTTTGCAAGAACACCACACTAACTTGTTTGGATATTTCTAATAACTATTTTTGAGTTACAGTTGGAAAGGAATTAGCGAAGGCACTTCTCAAGAATACCACATTAACCTCACTAAACATTAATGATTATAATCTTGAATTAAAAGAAAAAAGAATTAACAGATGTGCTTTGCATAAACATCATTATGAACTTTATAAATCTTGGTGATAATTTCTTAGAACAGAAGTAGAAAGCATTAGCAAGCGCATCTTTGTAAGAAAACTATTTTAAATTTTCAATCGATAATATTAAATTTGAAATAAAATAAATAACAAAGTATATAGTATAATAGTAGAAATACTAAATAAACATAATAATCATAACAAATGGCTTATCACACAAGTAAAATATAACGATAAAATAATTAATAATAAATATTAAAAAGTGAATATTTTAAATAAAAACTATATTTTCTCAATAACTTACCATCAAGAAGAAATACGAGCTTCCGAAATTAAACACCCTAAAATAAATACTGCTGGCTTGCACTATGCCTGCATTACATGCAAAAAATGGGTGCATAATTTCGAAATCAGAATTAAATAGATACTTATTATTTTAGAGTAACAAGACTCTTAAGCTATCCTAACAAGACCTAAGACCCTAATACACTTTTTAACATTTCTACCGAAGCCAGACTTTTTAGAATTTAAAGACTTGTTAGATAGTTTCAGTATCATATTGTCTCCACCAATCAAAGGTACGTATGTACACTTTCTTTGTACAGTACGTTCCGATCTTGCCTTTTTCAAGCGCTAGTTTTAGAGATATACAAGAGCAAGTTTTTTTGGCTTTGCATCACATTAAGTCACATGATGCATTATACAACTCTGCATAATATATTGTTGACCTCTCAAAACCTAGATGCAGTGAACAGACTTTATATGATACCGAGAGGTTATTGGATTTGAAAACATAAACTATTAAATTTATATAGTGGAAACGTACCTGGTAGATTGATTTTTTATTAGCTATTGATTTTGATAGAACAAAGTATCTATAAAGCGATTGTTGATAAAATGACATAAAGCAAAATTGCAATTTTAAATTTTAGGCAACTCGCATTGCATTATGCAGCATTATCAGAGTTGGTCAAATTATTGGTCAAACTGGTCTGGTCAAGTTGGTCAAATGGCCTAGTATATTAAATAAATAAATTTAGTATACAAAATAAATATATATTTAAATATACATGCATATGTATACTATATATTTAAATATCCTTTGACAATTTGACCATACTAAACCCTTTGACCAACTGGTCAAATTGGTCAAACTGGTCTGGTCAAGCTTGACCATTGACCGGTCCGTGCCAACCCTGAGCATTATGTCATGCAACATTGCCTGCATAATGCATACGGCACATCTCTATCCATTGTATAATCTGTTGTGACAGGGACCCAAAAATTTTTCGAATTCAATTATTTGAAACCAATCAAATTTTTAATCATCAAATTTTGGCCAAATTTTAGGATTTTGAATTTTAGCTACAAAATATTGATTTCGAAAAATTTTGGGTCTCTGGTATGTGATGTTTTTTTTTGCCACTCTTATAAATTCCGAAGGGGTGTTTTTTTAAAGGGAAAGTTTGCTGAAAATATTATTTACCTGTTATGAAAAAAATTTAATAAACAATAAACGAGATTTATTAACTAGTTTACTTTTATATCAAATATAGCTCGAATAGCTGGTAGTAGATAGTAAAGATTTCAGATTGTTGTGGAAATATTAACGCTCTTTCGGAGCTATATTAAATGAAAAATTACATTTTTATAATGAAAATAGGAATTAACTAGTTATTCAAGAATCGAATTAATCAGCATTCAGGCGAAAAATCCAAATTCACATGAGTTTACGTAACAGTTTATTTAAACTAATTTTTTTTTCAAATCCAAATGTTACAAAAATATTTATATTTATGTATCTTTGGCGTATTATTTCCGTGCATAATATCTAAATAGAGAGATCTCTACACCTTACATAAGTACGTATGGTGCGAGAAATCTAACGACCACAATTATAGAAAATCACCTGAATCGTTAACATCAATAAAATGTGAGAGAGAATACTTTTATTGACATCGACAAATTAAAGAATATGAATTTTAATGTGCTGCTTGACTGTCTACTCGGCATAATCTGTAACCTATAATCAAGTTACGCATTAAAATTTATGGTATACAGTTAGAGAATTGATATCATAATGCTGCATAATGCGATGCAAGTTGATTAAAATTTAGAATGATCTATATTATTTCACCAACAATAATTTCATTGAGACTTTATTTCACTGACAAGATTAGTTTACAGAAATTTCTGCTATACAAATTTAATAATTTATCATGATTTCAATTCCTATCTAGCATCTACACTAAATCGACATAATGTTGATTATGTGATGCAGACCAGAAAAAACTTGCATTAGCATATCTCTAAATATAATATTTAATTTCACTGTTTATATCTTGTCTCTATAAGGTGTAATTGTGGGGTTTATATGTATTTCTTGCGCCGTATGTAACCTTTCTGATTTTGTTTATTAAAAAGATTAGAGATGACTGAAAAAAAAATTCATTAGTGCGTAATATCATCTTGAATTTGAACAATCCTTTAATAATTATTCGAAATTATAACCTCTGAAATGGCCAAAGAGAACCTAATTATAAACTTGAAAGAAGAATGGAAAAAGACCGAAGAGAAAGGATATGCAAATAGAAATGGACAAGGAGAAAGTAAATTTATAATTATAAACTCGAAAGAAACAGAAAAGATAAGAAGGATAATCTAAAAAATTACAAGATAATAAATTCTTAATTATGGTCGTGAAAAAGGAATAGGAAAAAAACGAAAAACGTTTAAAAAAAAGAAAGAATTTAATGCTAGTAAACACTATAATAGTGTCATTTATTATATTATTTGGATCAATATTACTTTATGTTTTTCGGAGAGGCATTGCCAGCAATATATTTCGTATAGTGACATCAAGTATTCTTGCTAGAGGTGGAGCTTTAGCACTTTTAAAGCTTGTTATTGATAATTTAAATCATGTAAGGATACTATTACTTCATATATGAATACTGCTATTTCATTAACTAAAAATATAAATGCTAATAAAGCATTTAAACCCGAACTCATGTTAAATAACGGTAAATTGATCGAAGAGTGCAAAAACTTTATTAAATTTTTTAGCATATCGATAAACTTATCGAAGAAGAGAAAACTAGTGTAATTTTTATTAATTTAGTATCTTTATATGTTATCATTACATCTACAATCTCAATTTTGATTAATATTAAAATTATTCCACATTCGAGTGTTTATGATGATATACTATTATCTATATTGGTTAGAAAATATGTGTTAATTCTCCTTGATCCTTGAGCAGATTATTGAGAGGATGTTTATGTTGAACTTTTATAAAGACCCAAGTGAAAATTATTTTTTTTGCGGCAAAATTTGTGATTGGTTGAAATATATGCTTTTAAATCTAGTTTATGTATTATAATTCCTTTGACATTTTATTATTGTTTTGCGAAGAGATTGTACTTAATTAATTTATATGATGAAGATATGATAAAGTTGAAAAAGGAAGATATTGACGGGACAGAAAATAAATACGGGACAAAAGAGGTGAAAGACAGGAAAAAAGATAATAAAGAAGATTTTAATAAATATGATCGGATAAAATTTTTTGGAGATAAACTTGTTGAAACAAATATAAAATGAGAATATTTGGATATGATGAAGACAGAAAAGATATTAGCATCAAATCAGGGTGGAAATTAGCAACAGAATGTTTTACCGTTGACCAAATGACAATAGATCATCAAATTATAGGTATTCAGTAAAGCAGAACTGTACGGCAGTATAGATTCAGACGGACGTATGAAAATTATACTAAATTTTGATCGTACGTACGGTTAATATATTAGCAGTTAGACATCTCTTTCAAATTTACGTCAAATAATTTACATACATGAGTTTAAATTTTATACCAATTAAAATGTAACGTACATACATAAATCTAAAGTATATTTAATATAAGCATTTTACAATTTAGAAGAAAAGTAGTATATTGATTATTCAATATATGATCGCTGTTTATCTGTTTTAAAAACACAAAGACCACCTTCAATTGGAGTTATCGAAGAGTTGAATATTCAGTTGACTGTGGTTATCCTATTGAAGATTTTGCGAAACACGGCGCCTCACAGACTCAACTAATAAGACCTCTTCGTATATAACGAAGCATCTAATAAAAATTTGGTTAAAATAATGGCAATCACTTATCATAATATGAAATAAAAACCCTTCTTATTGTAAAAACAATGTATTTTCGTACTTTTCAATGTAGTTAAGTTGTATTCAGTTAAGCATTCTTTATATTTCAAAATTTTATGTATTAGTCTAATGTTTTTAACTTCATTAAATATTTTTTTTGCTGTTTTAATGTAAATTTGAAGTGACGCTAACAAATACAGACTTATTGTCAAGGAGTTAAGCAATCACCGTAGTGACTGCTATCTATCCCAGACGGTTTATTTGATTTAAGGTCTCGCTTGGCAACTAGAGACATACACCTTCATACGACGCACTACACTTTTCACAACATGTTTGTATTTACTTTACTTTCGTTTTTTTTTACCCGATTATTACCAGTCGAAAGACCATTTAATTCTTCCTTTACAATTTGCTATTTTAAGCAATTCTAACAATTACATATTCTGTACTACAATTAAACTATTTCTTAGTTATTAATTAATTTAACTTTTCATTTTTCCCCACTTAATCGTCATATTCATGCAATCAGTGATTATCGTACCCGATCTTGCATGTGCCGCCCCCACATCTCGATTTACCTACGACTCCGATCGATCACGTGGTCACGTGAATTGATCGATTCGTACTTCAATTGAACCCTCTTACTTCTCGATCCACTAATTAATTCAGTATCAATTTGCATACCTTTCACTAGGTATAAAGGGTCCTCTATAACTATGTGACACTTATCATTTTTTTAAAACAGCCTAATACTTGTATAAATAAAAATAATAATGATTGCATATAAAGGGTAGAAAATAAAGATCAAATAAGCCGTAATTTGAGAGTATATAGTAAAGTAGTATGGTACGGAAACACAAATTGGGACGGACATATAGAAATCATGATATTACGTACGGTTTGTAAAGAAAAATTTTCAAATCAAATTACTTTTTTTTCTAGTTACTTATAAAAATTGAATTTTGTAACAAAAATGATAACAGTAATGATAACATTAATGATAATAACAATAATGATAACGATAATGATAACAAAAATGATAATGATAATGATAATCCATCTTCTAATAACCAAGATCTACTTCCTGAGAAAGGAATAGGGCTGCCTCCTAAGAAAGGAAAGTTGATAAACTTATTGAAAAATATGTAATAGTTTTTGCTATGGTATCTTTTAGGGTAAAAACTAAATATAAATTCAAAATTGAATCTATTGAAATAACCGAAACGCAAAGAAAGAATCTTAGAAAGATTATGTGTATGTGTAATTTATCTAACGAAGCATATTAGGCCACGCAAAGTAAATTTTTCATTTAACATTACATGGAATCTGAAAATTGGGTCAGTCAGTCAGTCAGTTGATATTTTTTCTTTTTTTTAAAAAATCTATAAATTAACAGAATTATGTTTGTATTGGGACACTTTAAGAACAGTTAACCCAGTGATCGACAATCATTTGATAAACATATCATGACGTCATTTGTTTACCAG